ATATATTTAATAGAAAAAAATCTCATCATATTCATATTAATATTAATGTTAGCTAACGGCAAATATTTTTGAAAAATTAATATTTATATTTTATGTTAATTTTATATCTGCATTGCATCTATACTCTATCAAATTGTGATGTAATTTGAGTAATCTTGATGTAATCAAAGCTGCATCTATTAGCATGCGGTCGATAGATGCTTAATAAACACTGAATTCCTGATTAGACGCATCTCTAGTTGAGTAAGTTGCTTTAATGATATTATCTTCTTGAATATCATTGAAATCATCGCAAAACATGCAATTTATACGAAGAAAATAAACAATCTACAATGTAATGTATTCTTGATCATATTTTTCTTATTTTTTTAAAAACACTTTTCTATATCTATTTATATGTTTGATTCTTGTATTATTTTAGCATATTTATATATTGCTATACAAATATAGTTTTCGTAAATTAATCACAAATATTTATTGGTAATGTGTTATATATCACTGTCGAAAGTGAGAATAAGTTTCTATCACTAAGTTATATACACACCAAATAATTATTGCCTTTGAATGTTTTGACATTATATTAAAGTATAATACCTTTAACTAAAAATAAAAACATTTGATCAAAGTTACAGGATTTTATTGTAACTAATATATCTTTATATTTGCTCGAACAATTTAGGATGTCTTATCTGTTAATTGGGTTAATGCATTTGTGTAACGCGTCTATAATTGTAAACGTAGTAGTGACCCAGTTGAGAAGTAATTCCAAAACGTTTGTTTCTCTTCATTAATGCCATAAGACAAGCATTTTTTAGTCTCAAAACACAATTTTGTTTCGAAGTCATGCTTATAAAGAAAGTAGATAAGTAGAGATATATTACAATTAAAAAAATGATCTGCAAAAATTTCTCCATATTTCACGGATGCTTTTCAAGAATTACGTTTATAAAAATCCTATTGAAATCAAGACTTAATAAAATAAAGAAGAGACATAAGAAATAAGGTTATTAATATGTAACTAAAATTAAAATAATATTAATAATACACAACGAGATAATAACCAAAATTAAATTTAAAAAATTAAGTAAAATAAAATAGATAATTAATTCTATAAAACAATTATATTCTCTGAGAATGCATAAACGAATGTGTTAATATGTGTATGTCGTATTGTGTATCAACCACAAATAACAAATAAATAAAAATGTAATTAATCAAAATATTAATCGTTATTTATTTTTATTTTTTATATTTTTATCTTTATACATAGCACTCTTATATTGCATTATTTTCAAAAATAAAAATTAGAAACCCATTTATATAAAAAAGCGTTATAGTAAACATTAATCAAATTTAATTTGTTTATCGAAGTATTTTCTTTTACGAAACAATGCAAGTGATAAAATCGCAGCTTGGTATAAAAAAGAATTAATTACATCTCTACTGATTCACCAAACAATTGATCATCCGATTATCTGTTGTTCGGTTTAACATATGCGGCAAAGCAACTCTTTGCAATCGAACAAATGAAAAAGCGCAATGTAATTAGCGCGAACTTTTGTGCTCATTCAGCTTCTAACTTTTAAACTCCGAAACACACACATATACACAAAATTATCTCGGCAGAACTTTGCTCGAAGATTAAGATGGTTGAGCTTAATCATGGTTTAAATTCCTAATGAGTTCTTACACTTTTTAAAATGGATCTAAGAATACACCTTACAAATAATGCTGAATATTTCGATTTATTTTTTCTCTTCTTCTTTATTTTTGCGCTATTATGTCACTTTAGCAATAATAAAATTTTAAAAATAAATCAAATAATTTCATGTGCAAAAAGTATTCCTTGAAATTTTATAACAAAATATTGATAGTGTAGTTATATTTTTTTTTTTATATTATACTGTTACAAGGACATAAAATCGTTTTATATTCTACAAATAACTATGTTCCTACGTAATACTTTTATATTTTGTAATAAGAGAACAGAAGAAGCCGATAATATGATATAAGTTTTGAAACAAGTTTTGTAAGAGCTGAAGAGAATAGCTCCGCTTTTTCAATTCTATTGTGTTACGAATATATATTTTTAATGATGATTAAATCTGCTACAAACAATGGAAAGAAACGGAAACAATTCTTTTTTCCTTCGTACAATCTTCTAAAAATATTCTTATAGATTTTTAAGAGTTTGTTTTTGTCATCGTGGCTATTATTAACATTGAAATTAAATAAGAAACAATACCTTAAATTTTTATTTTTTAGGAGAGATAAAGTTATGTGATATTAATGTAGATTACACACATCATATGTCATTTAATTGTCATTTGATACTACTTTAATAAGTTTCATACATTTTGCCCAAAAATAATTAACAAAACATTTTTTTTTATAGAGAGTATATATGTATATATCTCTTATGTTATCTTAGAATTTATTATATTATATACACTACTTAATAAAATTATTAAAATATTATACAAAATAAAGTTTTATTTAAAAAAAAAATGAAATTGCTTTATCAAGATAATTTGAGACTGTTTTCTTTTCTGTTTTCTCTCTTTATCGAGAATAACATGCATATATACAAAAATATTTTTGATAATAATACATATATTGATAATATATGCTAGAATAGAAAAAAAATCAGATGCTAATAAAATATACAATCTATACATAGTACATATTCGTGATTCATAATTTATGGATATATAGTATAGATGACATATGCACTAGACGAGGATTTTATCGGCAGCAAAAAATAATTTTGGCTATATAATTCTGTACTTCTAAAATGAATGTAGATGGCGGTATTAAACAAGTCTTGATAAGAGCATTCTCTAGAAGACACTAGGGTGGCCGCCTTTCAGGCTTGTTATTGGATAGAAAATTTCTAGAGTTTGCAGTCGTACAATAGCAGCCAATCAGTACTTCCGATAAAGCTTGTCGTATGACAAATGAAATATATTATTTACATCATCAATGCTCAATCTATCTTTATTATTCTATGACTGTTCGCCGCTGATTGTTGACAGTTAACTACTGTAGTGTAACTCACGGTAAGCTACACACAGTGATACACAGCTGTGCTTGACACGCCGAAAGTTCTTCTCGTTATCAGCGGCACTGGAGCCTCATCCGTACGCGTCTCGACGCAGCCTTGTTCAGGCAGCTGCGTATCCCGACCATCATCATTCCTCGCGACAGATCGAGTCGCATCGTCGTAGGAGTGGACAGACTCCAGAAGTAGGAAAAATGAGGTATTTCTCATCGCGCGAAACTTGTGCAAATGTCAAGATCATTTTCGCACGCGTCTCTATTAGATTCCAATCGTCGCTGTTGCCGTCATTTGAATTTCACCCAATTTGTAATCATTCGGATGAAAGCATACGGAAACCCGCGTGATGGCTGCTCAGCGAAATGCGGGCGGGAATGGTAAAGCGCGTCCGCATTTGTCTGTCTCTGTCGCCATTTTTCCCGCGCTGATGTTCCTGGTCATCAGTTCGCGCCTTGTGCGATTAATAAAATTCGATGAAATTTCATCATCGAAAAATTTAAACATTCGGTATTTTCTGTTGTTAACGATGATGTTCGTGTGTGGATACCGTTTTTTTTTTTATTTTAGCACCATAATGTATATATATTATTGTATATGGAAATCATATATATATGATTTCGGCTATATACATAATTGTTTGGCGGGTTGCATATGTATAACGTGAAGGTGCGTTCGAATTATGACATTTCGAATATAGCTGGATGTCTTTAAATAAATGTTTATATTGTATACATAAATATGTGAAGCCTAACGCATGACCTATAATCATGAAAGAGTTTAATTGTTATTTGCGTGACTTTTATTATATCTATGTTAAAATTTAGCTATATTATATATCGCGAAATATCGAGTCATATGTGTGGCAATTATAAAATGCTAATCTTGATTGTTCTAATTCATATCATCCCTAGATCAAAGATAGTAGCCGAAGGCATCTGTCAAATAGTGTTTCTGCACTTGTAGGACAATGTGTAGTTATAATTACTTAGATTAGATTATATTAAATTAATTGGGATTAAGTTTTTTTTTTAATAATTCATCATAGATAAGAGAATTGTATCTTTCAAACAATTGCTTATCGTGATTTTTTATTTATAGCAGTAGATCGCAAATGACAACGATGAATGGAAAGAGGCCCTCTTCGGTGTCCTCTAGACATCAGCCAGAGACTCAGTCGCAACATAATGACTTGATTACCTACATCTGTGATTGTAAGTATATGTATGTGATTTAATTAAATTAAATAATTATATGTAAATTGCACAAATATGTGTTTCTAAAAGAGGTTTATTTTATACTTCTTTCAGCTTGGAATTCTGTATCTAGAGAGTTAGATATGTGTCACAATCAACCACATAGTAATTCTGCCAATTATAGAAATGGAGCATCAGTTACATATTATCAAGAACGTGAACCAAATCCACATTTGAAAGGTAAGCACTTTGCTTTCCTGGTTCTATCTGAAAGTAATAAAAAACCTTGATGATTTAGTTCTTAAAGATTTATTTGATATAATATCTTTTTTTCTTGATTTATTTATCGAAAGAATTATGCAGTAAGAAAGAAAGATTAATCTTATTTTTTGAAACGTTTAATTATCTTGTATATCATTTTATATGTTGCTGTTGCTGTTATTATTTTTTATACTATACTGTTTCTCTTTGTATATAGTAGTTTATTATCTGCTATAGTATGGTGTTCCCGGCGGACGTGTAGGGTGCATCTCACATCTTTTTACAGATTTTGAGCCTTTCAATTTGGAGGCATGGTGGGGACAGCGTGTTGTGCAAAGTATCACTAGGAACACAAATTCCTAGTGCCAGGCCCAACATGCAGACTATAATCGAACATTCTCAAACAGATATAAGAAACAGAAAAGATAAATTGGGAGTTAATAAATTCAATCTTTGTTTCTATTTATAAGATTTATTGTAAATTCAAAACTGATGAAGGATATGATAGCTAGGATATATATATCTACTTATGTATCTCGAAAAGGACTTTGAAATCTTTTGATAAAGAGAAGCGGGGAAAGCAGATAATAAGAAAGATAATTGACGAACTTAGCAAGAAATTAGAGAACACGAGAAGCAAAGAGGAAGAGAAATATATAATAATACAAAGACATAAAGGCATATGCATATATTGCTAAGCGATTTATTTGAAACGTGACGAAACATTCCCCTTATCTTCAACTGTATTTCAATGAAATATTAACCTTCTCTCTTGACTTTTTTATAAGCAGTTAAACAGGGATTGGGGAGATGTAAAACTTTTTCTCTTATTTCTAATATTGTCTTTGTAAAACTCGAGAGAGATATTTAATAATTAAGAATATTATACCAAACTATTTATTTTTAGCTACTAAATAATACGCGATATATGTTTATATATAATTATAGTACATAAATTACTATGATATATTTTCATTATTATTTAAAGAGAAACGATAATTATATATATACATAATATATATATTTAGAGTTTTTATCTTCTTGCAATGTTGAGCGATATAAATCTGCTGCTCAATAGTGCACAAAGCATTTATGGAATGCTCAACCTTGTTTAATAAAAATTACATAGACGAATTTTAGAAATTGTACCTTTTTAGGATGTACACGTAAATATACTTTTACACATATTGCATTTCACATTTCCAAGATTTTTCACTCTTACGTCCATAAAGTGACTGCACACTTTAACTAATATATAAAATATAAATAAAAGTGTTTTACACTTGTCGAAGAAAATTTTATTAATATATGAGAGATAGGAATAATCGCACTTGAAATTAATGATTGTAACATGGAATAGCGTAATAGTTACTGTAACTTTAAATACGATTAAATGTATGTGTATCGTATGTATACTTATATATATA